AGAACAGCCAATGCTGGCTGCCTGATCTGCGTGTAAGTATGACCGCGACGCATATGCACGCGTCCATTTCGCCTCTATGGACATTTCTACGCAATGGTTGTAAACGTCTAATTTCTCCATTCAGCTTATGCCGTGGGATGCGTCTTTGGCTCGGTTTCGGCTGCCGTCGCTATTTTGCCAATCTTTGTTGTTCCAATGATGGCTTTTGGAGGTACGTTTGATGTATTAGAATACTTCAAAAATGGCATATAGAAATGTTGTAATATAAGCTGAAATGCTCCACATATATTCCAAAATTAGGTGGTTTCATCTCACCTAGAAATCCAGTTACTGCACCTTTGCCAAAGAATGTGAAGCCAAAAAAGTAGAAAGCAACTATAGGTTGTTCTATAGGTTGACGTACTAACATCACTAAAGACCGATGATCCGAGTTGGTGTCCGATGCCGTAACGACCAACCATCCACATTGGGTTTGGGCTTGAAGGCGGACGATCCGAATAAATCGGATGCTGGTGAAAGGGGAACTACGCTTACTGGAGGCTAGACCTTCTAGACATCGTGCTTCTGCAGCGAAGGGTGCACCCGCGGCTCTTCGCAAAAGAAGAGGTCCTATTTCTGCGGTTCTTAGGCTGTGTCTCTTGGCTTTCATTGCCACTGCAGCATTTATTAATAGACTCCTATTTCCGACATCAGTCACTTATACCGTCTTCTTTTGGGAACATATTTCACGATAGCGAAAGCAATTATGAAGTTCGAACATGAAGCCGTATCCAAAATTGAAAATAAGTTAATTGTATTCGTCTATTTATTGCCAACGAGCTTTTTAGGTGACAACTTTATTCTACTCACCATTACTAACCAACTTTACTAACCATTACTAACGAGGGTGGCGCTTTCCACTATCGCAGTGGCAGAATGGCCTTCGAGGAAGATGATCAGGTAGAAACGTCAGGCTGAAAATAAAGTTGTCACCTAAAAAACCTCGCTGGAAGAAGAATACACGAAACTTCCTAACAACGATGCCGAGGTTCTATGAAGAGAGAACTTGGACCTTGAAAATGAATATTTTGCTGGAGGCGTCTACGAAACAGGTAGTGCAGAAAGAATTGGAGACTAAGGCAGAGGAAGAGACGAGGAAGCATAAGGGATGAGCGATACGCAGAGAGTAATAAATTTGCAACATTAGAAGGATTTTCAGAAACTTTGAAAAAAATTTTAAATTTCGCTGTTTCAGCAGTTATATATTAAAGTAAATTAGGAGAGCTTCGCTGATGTCATCTGATTCCAAGATCTATTTGAGGAGATATTTGTATTATCACTGAGAATAAGGCTTTTCGCAGTTGCTTACCTTTCCTACCCCATGGGGAATGCTCAGAAACTCCAAAAAAGTAACTTTTAACAATTGAGTGAGACTATGTATTAATGAAGAAAGTTACAGTATCCGATAAGTTGTTATTCGACAAATTGTGTTCATTTAGATGGTCAAAATTTCAGGTTACTTCATCAATCAAGGGCTCGTTACCGTTCTATTTCTATCCGTTCAAATACCTCTCATATTTCGGCTACGCGTTCGAGAGTTTAACAGTTAACGAATGGAGTCATGTGGATACAATTACTGGTAATCTCCGTGGACCTTAAAAAACCGCCTGATTTTTTGCATAAGCATATTTTAGGCTGTGAACGACCTGGAGCACTGGGTTGCTATCGAAATGGATCTGATGTCATTCGAAGCCTCAGCTTTTCTCCACAGAACAAATGGCTTAATGCGATGCTCATATTGGTCATGATTTTAGCATTTCGTTCTATTGCCTTTGTTAGTTTGTGGATGCGGGCAAGATTACGGAAGTAAATCGGTTATCACAGAAAAAATCACAGAAAAAATATTGGATTCATATTTAAAAATTTTGAACTACTTGAAATTAAATTCGATAGGTCTGTCTGACGAGTATCGCTCATTGGAGGGATTGTCAAAATCGTTAATTGCAGGATTGCAGTCAAAGGTAAGGGACTGTCAAAGTGGACGTACAGAGATTGCAGAACCGCCGTACAGAAATGAATGCGGTTTGATTTCACCAAGGCTTTTATTCTACATTCTAGATTGCCAGACTATTATGGATGACAAAGTTGTCAATTAGGTTGTGCTCGCATTCAATGTGGCAATCCCGAACATTCAGCTGCAATGCGATTTTGAATGGAAAGTTATAATGACATGGAGATTGCACAGGACAAAATGAACGAACACTGAACGGTTCTTTCTCCATGATTATTTTCAATGCACTCTTATGTAGATTTTTACTTGTTGTGGTTTGTTGACCGATTCTTTGCACATTTTGTGCCCACTATTTTTTCTACCGTTCTCTGAAGCGAGGGCTCACGTGGTAGGATTTCTCTTCCCTGCCTTTCTTCAATGGAAGACTACCAAGCTAGAAAGAACTTTTGAAAATACACTTGTTAATTATAGTAAAATCCTTCTTGCCCTTATATCTTCGGACATTTAGACTCAACTTTTCATACACAACGCAAACCGTGCCAAGGACCGACCTGCACAATCGTAAAGGATAAAATAAGCATTTGCTTGTCAAGCCCGTTTGGATGGGACAGATTCACTTCATTTGTACATTCGCGTGGATTGATCTTGTGCCTATACAATGACTTGCGGGGGCCAGCCGATGTTCAAGTCAGTGTTTTTTTTCTCCCAGACAAGTCTGGTACCAAAACCGACCCCGGAGGGATGGAAGGCTTGGTTGGCCCGGGCGACTCACGACCCAGGAATTGATCCCGGACGCTCGACTGTGAGCGCGCACTTGTCAATGACACTTGCGCCCCCGACATCGATATAGCACAAAAAAATTTTTAAGAAAAAAAAGTTCATACAAGATACACGAAAATAAGTCTTAAGGAAGTTCCACATCAAATGGACAGTACCCTGAATAAGAAGACATTAGTGCCCCTTATTTGCCGATTGTAAGACGTCGTCAAGTAGGTGAATACGCGCATTTATGTCTAATGATAAAAAGCTCGCGGTAACTTGAAGGGAAAAAACGAACATTCATAATCTCAAGGTTATCAACGCGGGACGAATTTACCTTGATTGCCAACATTGTACTGCACATCTCAAATTTCAGCCCGCTAACCCCTAACGCAGTCATGGTCATACGATAATTCCAGACCGAATACTCATGATAGATCTCTGGGTAGTCCTCGTCAGATTTTTCACTATTTCATTGATATTTCAACAAATTGAACAATAAAGGAAAGTATTCACAATCTTATCTCTTGGCAAATAAATAGCTTCTCAACAACAAACAGTCTGAACCCAATTCAAGTATTCAAAAGAAAGCCTAAGAAAGTAAGTAAAAGTGAAAGAAAAAAGAGAGCAAAATAGAAGTAGTTAATATTACTTTATTACTATCCGTGTACCGAGATTTGTATCGATAAGAGAGCAAGGTCGCCAGTAGCATTTGGCTTGGAAACATGACAACAAGCGAGGGAACATCGAGGATTTCCTGGCTCTCAACAATTGGTTACCACAACCAGATCTTCACCGACGATGTTGCACTGAAAACAATCTCGTAATGAAAATTCGAAGTAACCTAAACTTCGTGATGCTGGCTGATAAAACAACTCACCACCAGGTGGGGGCTCACGGAAGTGAACCTTGAACCAAGCTAGAAGAGAATCGAGGGAGGAGAAGAACTTCTGTCGGAACTTCAGTCCTTCACTGGTCACTAAACAAATCTTGCATTTTTCGGCATTCAAGTAAAAACCATAAATATGTATCGAAAGTAGTGATACAGGAATACTGACCTGATATGTACTCATGGCACGGTTTCACCCTTGCCAGATAGGAAAGAACGAATTTGGCGGGGTATGTGCGCGATGCAGTCAAAGTGTAACTGAAAAACAATGTAATGAGGAAGAATTCGAAAACGCTTTGCTTCAGCTCACGGGATTCGTGCTGGTGACGCACGCTTTTCCTCACGAAGTCTGGCATCGATCCTGTCACGCTCTTCAGAGAAAACGCCCTCCATGAAGTACTGTAATGAGACATTATTTCATTAGCGCTTATTATTACATAAATAGCTCAATTAGCTCAATAAATTTATCAGAAAATACTCTTGAATACTTTTTAGTAGTCGGGAATTTCACCAGACTTGTGAAGACTAGGACTTAACCGGTGATTTATACCATGTTATTCACCATTATTGATGTCTCCTGATCTTTCGGAAAACAACAACAGTGGTGAACAGAATGGTACACTCCACGTGATAGAAAGGAGGCCATTTCAGACAAGCAGAGCACTATGATGGATAGTAAAAAGTCGGCTTCAATTTTTGAAAATGTCACTGTAAGTTTCTGTGTTGATAAACCATTATTGGAAAGCGAAATCCAATTATGACAGATGACGTCCAATGGCACATAGAGCAGTCGATGCTAACATTTCTCTTTGCTATGGAAAATATCTCTCAAATTGTATACAAATTTTAAAATATCGAATCAGTCTGGTTAATATTCAGAGTGGTGTGTTCTGCGTAAATCTTCTAAAGCTCATAAAATAAAAAAATTCGAGTGAAAAAAAAGAGTAGAGAGGCCATGGCAAGAGTGTACTGTCAAGTCGAAATTTCTTCACAAAGGAAGAAATTCACACATGTAACTTGAACAGTAACAAAGCTCTGCCTTCATTTTTGATGTCCAAAGCTGTAGAACAAAGAGCAAAATTGTTAGGTGAAGACTGATGGATCACTGACCTTGTGAGACATCACATCTCTGCAGAGATCTGCCATCGGATATAAAAACCTAGCAATCGCTTCATCGAGATCGTCGAAATCCTCGCCGCTGAACAATCACGCAGATACATCGAGAAGCGAAATCGAAACAAGATAAAGAAGCAAAGAACTATATGCAAAAGAAACTCACAGAATAGTTAGCCGCCGTCCAAGCTCAGTTGGATCCTCCTTGTCGTGCTCTTCGACGTCAATATTGGCTACAACCATCCGCCTCTTCCAGAAATCGTTAGCCGATTGGATTTGGACTTCGCCGACGTAGAATGATGATGTCCTATAAGAGCCCGCCTATACAAGAGGAAAAAGTAATGACACATTGACGATGTCAGACTCCGTGAGTCGTTGTGCCACTGCACAGCACCGAAGACCTGATGCCGATGACGAAGTTATTAAGCGGTACAGAATAACTCTTCCTATGTGAAAAATCAAGTTTGCTGGATCAAAGCGGAGTTCTTACCGTGTCCTTCTGTCCCAGCATCCTCTGCGCTTCGCGATAACTGACGTTGTGGAATTGTGGATGAACGATTTGTCGATGAGTGAAATTGCATTCCGCCTGAGGCTACAGCTTTAGGAAGAAACACACCATCTGCACAAATTCACAGTAAATCACAGTAATAACAAATTCACCTTCAGACTCTTAGCACTGCGATCTTTCTCAATATCTTCCTTTTCTAAGTCGTAATCCCAATATGTATCGTGCTCAGGTACTGGCTCTTTATTGAGGTCAGATGTTCGACACGACAAGAGGCAAGAGAACTTTTCAGGCTCCAATTTAATTATGCGACAGTAGATTGGTTGATTCATCTGAAATTGAATATAACTTTCAGGTTAAGTGGATGTTAAAAGTTAGGCTTACCTTGACCCTTTCAAGTGGATTTTTGAAAGACTCTGGTTTGTCCGAAATCATTTTGTTGGGAATGAAGCCGCTGATACCGTTATCAAGCCTGACTCTTATGCCCACAGGAATTCCTGGACAACCACCTTTCCGGGAGTCCTTAAAAGAAAAATAATTGTCGGGCTCACCCATTGTAATGCTAAGTAGAATTTCGCACCTTAATCTGCAGATGTTCGTAGAGCTTGCTAGAAGTAATAGGCATTCGACAGAATGAGCATTCCCAGTACTCTGACTCTTGGATCCGTTGCTGAAGTATTCAGAATTACATAAACTGCAATTTTCAACGCCCAGTATTCAGCCCTACCATATGCTCTTGCCCAGAAATATATGCTGCGCGTTGATCTTCAGGAATTTTCTTGAACTGAACACCCGTAACGACACCGCAAACCCGTTTTTCCTCCATCAGTGAATTTTTGGACTCTTTCGTTAGCAATGCGAAAAGCTCCTGAAACAAAGAGAATTCCAGGACATCCGATCACAACTATGTTTCCCAAACCCTCGCTAAAAACAAATGTAACTATTAGTGAAAATTAACAAAAAAAATGAAAATGAAAACATGAAAACAATGTGTAAACACGGAATAAATTTTAAAAAAATATTTAAAACAACACTGACCATGGAGTACAATATATTGCAAAACAACGAAGTAAACTGCGCATAACACCAACCTGGTCGCTCAGAGGTATGAAAGGCCTCCGTTGATCTTTGTATCGGTGGTTCAACTCAGCCGAAATATCGTAAAGCGTAGCTTTCTTCTCACCGAAGCCCTTAACAAAAAACTTATT